GCAGAAACAATAATAAAGTGTTGACAACTTGTCAGTATCTTTATTTATGACCTGATTTGAGTTTGTTGACCAATCACAACCCTGGATCAGCCACACTCTCGCGATGTCTCGTGAGACTGAGGATCTCAAATCAATCGACGGTGTTTACGTCTTTTCCAGTGCTAATTTTTCGTCTTTGTGGTAGGATTTACCTATCTTTAGTCATATACATGGTGTAACCTAGCTATTTCGGTATATACTCGTTACTTCATGATCCGGTATTTTGGACCTGTACCGAAACGATTTTTACGGTATTGGACCAGTACACTGTACCGGTCCGCAGCCCTACTTGGCAGCGTGCTGTAGAAGCGATGTGGAAGGGCTGTGGAAGAGGTGTATGGAAGTGTCGTTGTGGGCCTTCGTAGTGCTGACTTCCGGGCGCAAGGTGTCTGGTCGGCTGAAAGTATGTAGTACATGCAAACATGAATGTCATTGATGCAAACTAGCCTCCTGTGCAGGCCTCCGAACGGGTGGGCGTTTAATACTGGGTTTTGTAGAACTGTTGACAACGTACAACCAATGTCCTTGGTACAACCAACCGGTAATCGTAGCTATAGGACAAACCCTTTTTCCTTGGAATTGGACAACACAAAAGACAATCTGTGATTATACATATCGAGCTACATTAGATGCCCTTTATTACTACATCAAGATAGAACAGGACTTGCACATCAAAATAGAACTTTTTGCACACACTTCGCACTTCGTAAGACAACTCCAGACCCGGAATGAAACTAGAGGCTACTAGTATAACAGTTACCCTAAAAACTAGCTCGTATGGAGTGGGTTCCTTTTGTATGCCTTTTTATGTTTTTAGTTATGTGGGATCCGACATGGACATCACTGCAATAATTATGAAAAAATACCCATAACGTTACATTGTTGCACGCAATGACGTATCATAAACCCTGGATCGACGCATTTGATTTTTTTTCCTGTCTCTTTCGCGGTTGTGAAATTACCTATTTCTGTGAGTGAATGTATCGTCCAGCTGGGCGCTATGCTGAGATACCAGAAGACTCACCTGATCTCGTAGACTCCAAGGCCAAATATATAAATGATACCAAACGGAAGTCGGGGAAGATGGCGGTAGCGGACCACCCGAAGAACTTTGCCAGTCAAGAGCCTGTGTCTCTGATATCTCGACGAGCTCATCGAATATGCCAGTTATTCGGAAGGCCGGGGTCAATTCGGGTCAAGGCGAATGCCGTGATCATGAGTCGAGGCTATTTTGACGGCGTCTCCAAACCACAGGTAACTTTCGACATTTCAAACCAAGCATGGCAGGTACACCATTTAGTGCATGCCTAGTGGGCAAAGGTCACTATTTGGCGCTTGCCCCAGTCTCGTACAACCAACCGGTCATCGTAGCTATAGGACTCCTTGGAATTGTCCTATGATGGCCGTTTACTACAAAATATTTCTAAAAAAACGCCCATCCGCTCGGAGGCCTGCACAGGAGGCTACATGTGAACTGTGTACTCTGGAGGTTAAAGTGCGGCATTAGGTAAATAACTAGCTATATGGAAATCGAAAATCTTAGACCCTTATCATTGGTGTTTTTTACAGTGCAGCAACTTGCTTTGCCGTGTATTATGCAATGTATCGCTGTAAATTACTTCGGCTCAGATCAACCTTTTACGGTATTCGATACACACAGCACTCGATAGCTAGCATAGGCAAGGCCATGTTGATTTATATTTTCAAATATATATATATATCTACATCTACATCTACATGACACGGGACAAAGTGCCTCACGGCACATCGCGTCCCGGGAAGGAGGTGCAGCTGGTGTGGCAGGTGGTGGTGCGCAACAAAAATATACAAACAGATGAAAAATGATATATAAATAATAAATTGCAAAATGAAAGAAACCAAACTGTGCAACTATATACAAAAGCCACACCAGAAAACAAAAATGACTCTACAGCTGGGTATTGGCTGGAAGGCCAAGGTGACTGGCCAAACCCGCCTTAAACATATCAAGGGATGTGCAAGATATGAGTGTACCTGGTAGTGTATTCCACTCGATAACAGTTCGAGGGAAATAACTGGCTCTGTATGCTTCTGTCTTGCATGGGATGGTGATGAAGCGTGAGTGATGTCCTCTTGTAATGTTTGTGTTTTTGGTGAGAATGTTGTGTATAGGGATGGCTATCATGTTATTGACTGCTTTATACATTAGGACAAGTCTGGCTTGCTGCCTGCGTTGGCGCAGGGAAGGCCATCCAAGTGTTCTCAGTGTATCTGTCGTGCTTGTTGTTGGTCTGTAATCTCCGGTAACGAACCTAGCGGCTCGCTTCTGTACTGCTTCTACTTTATCTTCAAGTTTGTTTGTCTGTGCATGTAGTCGTTTGTGTGGATCCCAGACTGTCGAAGCATACTCCAGCTGGGGTCTTACGATTGAGGTGTATGCCTGGGCCCTGATTGCTCTGCTTGCCCCCCTCAGATTCCTCCTTAAGAAACCCAGAGTGCTGTTGGCTTTAGCTGTTATGTATTCAATATATTTTATTTATATTATATGGACGGCATCCGCGCGCGTCCGTTTCTAAAAAAAAGAAAAGGTTTCGACCGTATTGTAAATCTGTATCTGTATAGCCGGTATAACCGCCCTTCGGCGTAACTCACCAGCTACAAAAGCAGCTGCAAAATGAGCAATTATATGCCGCAAATTGAAAAAAAATTGAAATATCGCAGAATGCCAAAATCAATTCCAAAGGAAAAGAAGAAAATGTGAAGAAAAGAAAATGAAGAGTCTATTATTCGTCATACCATACTCAGTATGTTTAGTCATTTGCTAAACCAAGTAGATTTCAAAATGAAGGCAACTTTTTTGCCATTTCCTTTTTATTCTCACGCTAGCATCAGTTTTGGGGTTCCCAGAAGATGTCATCCATATTATCAAATCATATTACCCAATACATTATCCCAATTCATTCGTTCCACGACTGACAACTTCCAGAAGTTTCTCATCCATCACGAAAATAAGATCCTCGATTGCATTAATTGTATCAGTTGATTATTTTCTCCGCCGAATGACAGCCTTCATGTGTTATCTGAACGAAGAAGGTTATTCTAGTATTTCGTAATAAATAACGCAAATGAGGCCATAATTTGAATAAGTTATATTTAACGATGTTCACTTAAATAGGTGCGCAGTAAACCACAGGAATTGGCAATTGCGTGACTGTCACGCTACGTTTCGCTCCCCATTGCTCGGAGATCGTTAAAGAAAATAGTTTTTGTATTTGCCGAAAAACGAGTGAAGCGTTTTAGTATCAGTCTGCGAGCAAAAGTGATGCCGTTTTGTCGCCTGATGAACAAAATGGCTACTTTCTATTTCTTGTACATGTCGTAGCGTTACCGGAGGCGGAGATTTTGGAAACGTTATTGCAACATCCTAGTCTTTTTTTTTTAAACTGGAATTAGTGAGCCATTTCAGAATATAAACCATCACCCAGGGAAAATTCATCTTTTTCCCAGCAGCTCCGTAGAAAAAGCGTAAACAAACAGTTTCTAACCAAATTGAAGAGTCAACAGCCGATATTGCCTGGTTACCAAACCTATTATAGCTCCCGAGTCCTATGGAGAGGATGTAGGACTCGGGAGCTATAATAATTTCTTATGAATTATGCAAATATTATGACAAGTGACATGGTGAAGTTGTAAATGGCCGTGTTCCCGCAGCCTTGATTTGATGTTTACGTTCATTTAACTTTCAAATGCGGCAAGTATGAACTGGAGGTTACCACTATGCAATATTAACAATTTCCCATTAATTGTGCAAATTAGGTCTTCACTTACATAATCTATATCTTCAGATGTTTCTACGCTCTCACTCTAAATTACATGTCACAAGTGTTCCACAGTCCTTTTATGGAACAAAGCATATTTATAGAAATTCCTCATTACTTATGCAAATTAGCTCCTGATTTGCATTATTGTCATCTAATTACCTACGTATTAAATATCATGACAATCCGTCTGTCGGTTCTTGAGTTCTAGAAGATTTTTCAACAAACAGCCCTGCAGTTACAGAAGCTGTTAGGGGGGCCTAAACTAATGCCACTTCTCAGGCTATCCCCAGAGCTATCTATCCAAAATTTCCATTGGACAGTCTGGGATGTTCATGAGTTTATGTAGTTATTATAGAAGAAGTGGGTAAATTCGTCTTCCATTGCCTAAAAAGAAGAAGTCAAACCCTGTAAATCTAGTACCATGTACGTTGTAGAATATAGTATAATGCTAGACGTAGATATACATGTAGTCTCACGTACCATTGTACTTTCTTTCTTATGTTGTTTGTAACTGCAATTAGCCCTCGGGCAAGTATTTGCAATAAACTTTCTTTCGATATGGGGCATTCACTGTGCAAGCTGCTGGAAGATCCACGGTGGGGAGTACTTCTTTATGCGTGGGTCCTGGGCACACACCCATATGATTTGTAAATTGCGACGGCATGTCTGCGCGCTTTCAAATCCGTTGGATTCCGTAAGGAGGCGGTAATCACCACTTACAGATCTTAAAAATTTGCCCACGTTTTTGCACGTAGACAGCACGCAGTTGCACGTACGGCGGGTTGTGACCCTCGCTTTATAAAGTTTGTTTAAAGCGAGAGGCACAACACGTCTTACTGGCAACTAGTTACGTATAAAAGCTGGTTCAATACCACTTCAAGCTCAACAATTCTTCATGTGACAAGGGCAAGTTGGAAATGGCCTTCTCCTTGCAGCCCGAAGTCATATCAGAACGCGCCAAACGATTGTGCGCGCTAGACACTATTATAGTATTCTTGGATACTGCTGGAAACAGGGCCATGAGTAACCAGTATGACAGGACCGCTAACCGCGAGGTAATTTTCTTTAAAGCTTTAATTAAGCAAGGGTCACAACCAGCCGTGTGTGTTTTTTGTCGGTACGTTTTTTGGGAGGCCACGCCCGCCACGTTTTCTGAAAACGTGGAAAAGAGCTGGCAAGAGCAGGGAGGGAGTACGTCAACGCACGTCACTCTTGCGTCCGTGAGCGGTTGCGTGCATTGTTCGTTGCGCAAATGGTGAGTTGTACGTGCTTACAACGTACGACCTCTGTGCGATCGTTATAAGTAAGGACTTAATCCAAAAATCGCATTTACAACATAATTAACGTCATATCCGTTTTATCCATCATATCCGTCATATTGCGTTACTTAATAATTATTTGTTCTTATCTTATAATGATTATTACCTTCGCCAAGAAGGTTATGTTTTCAGAGGCGTTCGTGTGTGTGTCTGTGTGTGTGTGTGTCTGTCTGTCTGTAAACACGATAACTCGAGAAGGCTTAAATGGATTGTCTTTATACTTGGTAGGTGGGTAGGTCTTGATGAGACCTCAAATTGATTAGATTTTGGACCCCCTGGCGGCTCGTTGTGGTACTGCAGCGGAACTTCCGGTTTTGATATCTCATGATCTGGACGTGCTAGGGTCACGAAATTTGGATGGAAGGTAGCTCTTGTGCTGGGGAAGAAGTCACGTGAGTTTGGGCCCCCTAGCAGCTTGCTCTGGAACTGCAGGGGCGTTTCTTTAAAACTATTCAAAAGAGGATAACTCAAGAACCGGTTGACGAATCGTCATGATTTTTGGTATGTAGGTAGCTTAAGTGACGCTTGACATAATTATGCGATAATCATGCAAATCTGGATGTGATTTGCATAATGTATGAGGAAATTCTATAAAGCAGCTGCATTACATTATAGGACTATTTAAGCTTGTGATGCATGTAATTGAGAACAAGAGAAACTCAGGCAGATATTGATTATGTAAACTAACACTTAATTTGCATAATTAATGAGAAAATGTTATAATTCCATAATGGCAACTGCCTGGAATTTCATACTGGTATTTGAAGGTTAAGTAAAAGTGAACTTATTCAAATGAGGACCTCATTTGCATAATTTATGAGGAAATGATAGAATGGCTTTGTTTGTTAAGATAAGGCTGTCTTTTGGTGGAGAATATGAAACTGATATAATTTACGCAAATGAGGATCCTATATGCATAATCAGGAGGAATAATCTTTAATTTTTCCCAAAAAATGGCAGAGTTGAATCAATTCAAAGAAATGGCAGGAGAAGAAGAAACACCAGCGAACAAAATATGTTTCACCACACATAGTGTGGTGAAGCCATAATTATCCGGATCATTCTGTATAGTTTGGTAATGTTACTTTGAAAACCAGTGAGGAAAAATATTTCAATCTGATCAACCAGAGTTATGTTAATCTGTCCCTGCCATTGTTTTAGGGACCAGACAGTCTGGGATGTTTATGAGTTTATGTAGTTATTATAGAAGAAGTGGATAATTCGTCTTCCATTGCCTAAAAAGAAGAAGTCAAACCCAGTAAAACTAGTACCATGTACGTTGTAGAATATAGTATATTAATGCTCACGTAAATATAGTCTCACATACCATTGTACTTTCTTTCTTATGTTGTTTGTAACTGCAATTAGCCCTCGGGCAAGTATTTGCAATAAACTTTCTTTCGATATGGGGGTCAATTCACTGTGCAAGCTGCTGGAAGATCCACAGTGGGGAGTAACTTTTTTTACTTCTTTATGCGTGGATCCTGGGCACACACCCATATGATTTGTAAATTGCGACGGCATGTCTGCGCGCTTTCAAATCCGTTGGATTCCGTAAGGAGGCGGTAATCACCACTTACAGGTCCCAAAAATTTGCCCACGTTTTTGCAAGTAGACAGCACGCAGTTGCACGTACGGCGGGTTGTGACCCTCGCTCGCTTTATAAAGTTTATTTAAAAGCGAGAGGCACAACACGGCGTACTAGTGTATGCATAAAAGCTGGTTCAATACCACTTCAAGCTTCAAGTTCAACAATTCTTCATTTTGTTACAAACATGCTATGGAGTGTGAAGGTGCTTTCAATTTGGGACATATATCATGATGTTTGTCTATAAAGTCATGTGATGGTACGAATGTGGATAAAGTTTCAAATGGTTTCGCGGGAAACTCGTGTATTAAAAAGTACATACATGTAGCACTCAGTTCACCTGACACCGATTCGACGTACCTTTCCCTCTACACCACAAACGACCATCCGCAATTATACATATCGAGCTAAATTAGATGCCCTGTATTACTACATCAAGATAGAACAGGACTTGCACATCAAAATAGTACTTTTTTGCACACAATTCGCACTAAGTAAGATAACTCCAGACCCGGAATGGAAGGACTGAATCTAGAGGCTTCTAACGGGCCCGTTAGTATAACAGTTACCCTAAAAACTATGGAGGGGGTTCCTTTAGTATGCCTTAGGTTTTTATTTATGTAGGATTCGACAAGGACATCATTGCAATAATTATGAAAAAGCACCTATAACGTTACATAGTTGCACGCAATGAAGTATTGCAAGCCCTGGACCGACCCATTTTATTTTTATCCTGTTCTCTTTCGCGGTTGTGAAATTACCTATTTCTGTGAGTGAATGGTATCGTCCGAGTAAACACTACCAGCTGGGCGCTAGTAGACTCACCTCACCTCCTCACCGGTATCGTAGGCGCCATTGAAGCCAAATATAACGTTATAAATGATACCAAACGGAAGTCGGGGAAGATGGCGGTAGCGGACCACCCGAAGAACTTTGCCAGTCAAGAACCTGTGTCTCTGATTTCTCCACGAGGCCATCGAATATGCCAGGCATACGAAGAGGAGGCATTTCTGGCCAAGGCGGGTGCCGTGATCATGAGTCAAGGCTATTTTGACAGAGTCTCCAAACCACAGGTAACTTTTGACATCTAATAAACCAAGGAAGCACGTCCACCATTTTAGTACATGGCCTACATGCCGGTGTGAAGGCCCCCAGATGAAAACGATGAAAACAGAATGGCCCAAACTGGAGTCCCTACCGGGCCGAAACAAGTGTAAACATTTTTTAGACCCATGGACATGTTTTGTTTGTTTACGCCTAGCCCAACTAGACCCCCTAGAAGATCCTAGAAGCAATGCTATTTCATGGTTTCGTCCAGTACCAAGTAGATATAACCATGGAGAATTTTCTACCTCCTTGATATAACCAAGGACATTCTTGTACATGTATAATATCCTTGGTGTAAGGGATTGCAGATGTGGCCTTCACTTTGGCACTGAGTGGTCTGTATAATTTATAGTTTACATCATAACTGTACCCTGGCATTTTTATAAGCTGCACTAGTACACTAGATTTGGTATCTGAATTTGTGAAAAAAAAAACTAGTGGCCACTGATACTTAATTATGAAGTATACCCTACATGTAATGAAGTACGCATGAAAGGTACTTCACACTTGTGTTCCCTGTGCTTCCCGCCTGCCCTAGGCCTGGTCCCCGAGTGCGACACAAATGAAGGGGAGTCCGAGTCAGGGCGGCCAGGGCTCTACTCCCATCCTCCCAGGTTCATCATCAGGGCAAATTTTGGGCAATCTAGGTCACCGTGTCCGGGGGCATGCTCCCCTGTTAAATTTTGGATTTTCAAGCCTTCAAAAATGCAATTTCCCTCATTTTATTTTTAATACGCAGATCATGGTGTTGAGAGTGTTTGTCGGTGGTCCTTCGGATGTTTTATTTTCATCCAAGATATTTGTTGATTTTGTCTGTCAAGGATTGGTTTTAAAAAATTTCCGTCACACGCCATAAGGCCACATCAATTTAATTTGTTGGTTCTCGGATTCGCCTCTTCGTTTTTTTTCTGATTTGAACAAAAAAAAAAAAAATTGATTCTGGTCCTGAATCAACTGAAAAATGCTCATGTTTTGCCCCCAACAGTTGAGGAAAGTCCTTTTCTTCCTAGTTGTTACAGTTTTCCCATCTATCATTGCAGTGGTTTGATTAAAAGTTCAAAATTCAATGTTTAGCCTTTTGTGTTGACTTCATGGCTCATTTTGTAGCATTTAAGCCTATAATAGGATGCCTAGACCTGTTTTTATTTTTTATTTTTTCGCCCTGTCGCTTCATATTTTTTCTGAAAAAATCCGAGAACCAACAAATTAAATTGGTGTGGCCTAAATTTCCAATAATTGACGGAAAAAACTGGTGCTAGATAGAGCTGAAGGGGACCAAGCGCTGAAGGCGCAATGTAGGGGGATCCGGGGGCATGCTCCCCCGGCAAGGCGGTCTGTCACTACGACATTCTTTCCCATTGCTGGGGGCGTTCGATAAAGTGTCGGGTTACAAGACACAATTTTGGGCAAACCGTAAAACATTTGAAAATAAACAAACTAGTATCGGAGGGAAAATTTCGTTGAAATAAAATGAAATTTTTGATTTTTTGTTCTAAGTGGATGATTTTTTCAGATTTCGATAAAAAAGTCGATAATTTTCGGGACTTCAGAGCGCCATATTTTAGCCAGTCACCGAGCAAACCTGGCTACACATACTAAGTATTACGCAAGGTCACTGATTTGTATATTTTTCGACGAGTAGGAATAAGATGAAAAATCGTGCTTTAGGAATTTTTTAAATTTCTGACTTAAAGTATCGTTTTTGTTGACAAATAGGTGACAAAATTGAATGTTTTGGCTTTTTTCGCACTTAATTACCCATAATTCAAAATCGAGCGCATTTTTCCAAAATCCCTAAAGCACGATTGTCGGGAATGCCATTACAGTCATTTTGAGCCATAAATGGGGTATGTTTGACTCTCCATTCTTCCAGGTTTGAACGAGTTTTGCAGACATGTCATATCGCCCGAAAGTGTGCATTATGTTATCCATACAGGCCTAAAGAATCATTACAGTATTCAAGGTAACCCAAGGATACGACAGTAGCTTCACTACATGAGGGTCTGCATGCCCTTTTTCGTTAACCGTTATGGGCTATTTTAATTTACCGTTAATCGTTGCCAGCCTGCTCTAATTCAACGTTAAGCGTTATCAGTATGTTCATCGTGAAGCGTTATTGGTCGTTTTAATTCAACGTAAAACGTTATTTGTCATCCTAAATTCAGCGTTAAGCGTTAATAAATAATACTTCGTTACGCCTAATTTTGCCTTTCCAAGTACAGGAAAATGCGTCATTGAAGGTTTAAAAATACAAAATTTCCCAGGGGAGAATGCTTTTGGCGCTCGACTCGCGCCTCTGTGCTCGGTCCCTTCGGCTCTAGCCAGCACCAGTTTTCCGTTAATTACCGGAAGTTTGCGGAGAGTTAAAGAATTTTTTTAACGAATCCGTCAACCTTGACAGGCAAATCAACAAAAATCTTGAGTAAAATATGAAAACATCAGAAGGACCGACAAACACTCTCAAAACCATGATTTGCCTCTCAAAATGCGGGAAATTGCGTTTTTGAAGGCTTAAAAATCCTAAATTTCCCGGGGGAGCATTCCCCCGGACCCCCCTAGATTACGCTCTCAAAATCCATCGGTAAAACTGGGCAGACTGAAAAAATGCAAGCTGGCCGAAGTCGACTCGGACACCCCGGTATTTGTGGACGCACTTGGCGACCAGGGCAGGTGGGAAACACAGGGAACACATACCTTTAATGCTTCATTACATGTAAGGTATACGTAATTTTGTCAGTGATCACCTTTCTCACAAAGCGAGATACCAAATCCAGTGCCGCTCGAAAAAAAAGCCTGTCAATTTACCGTTAAGCGTTGCCGACCGTCCTGAATTTACCGTTAAGCGTTATCGGCCTGCTGAATTTACCGTTAACCGTTGCCAGGACCCCCCCATGCAGACCCTCCTACATGTTACATGTCCACTAAAAATGATAGCGGACATGTACTGTCCAGGAAACTGTTTGTATCTATAGAAGGGTCTGCCTAAATACCTCAACCGACCTCAACCGGCCTCAACTGACCGCGTAATGGGTTAATATGCAGTATACGTGGGCTAACAACCTTTTCCAATTCTCTGGATACATTGTCTATGCTTGTATGAAAAAAACACTGTAACTCTGACGTATTTACCAGTTTTTAAAAGTTATTCCTCTGGTTTGACGGAGGTCAATGGAGGTCAAGCCGGTAGGCGTACGTGCTTAGCAGCTTGGATGTCAGGCTGGAAAACACTCGGTATATAGCTACATTGTATTATGAGTTGGTTATTATAGTATTTGTGCTTTACTATGATTTATAAACCAACATCTTTGCATTCTGTTGCCTGTATAAAGCAAATAAGGTGTCCAGAAATTCCCCATGCAGGCCCAACGATGGCGACCCAACATGGCGGCCATGAAAAGCATTCTAACGTTGAACCAGAGGAATAACTTTTAAAAACTGGTAAATACGTCAGAGTTACAGTGTTTTTTCCATTCATACAAGCATAGACAATGTATCCAGAGAGTTGGAAAAGGTTGTTAGCCCACGTATACTGCATATTAACCCATTACGCGGTCAGTTGCGGTCGGTTGAGGCCGGTTGAGGTATTTAGGCATACCGTCTATAGAAAAGTGCTGTTTTTCTATCTGTTGCGAGTCACTCAGGCAGAAGGGCTTGTTTTGCCGCTTTACCATAAAATCCCTTTCATCACTCAGACCTGATCTAAAAAGGATTTGAGATGAAAGCCAGTGTTTATTACTGACAGGATCGGGCAAGGAAGTTTCGGCGTCCGAGCGATTGTCGGACGTATATGCTTTTTTTGATCTGAGTACTGTGGTCGGGCACAGTGAGCCAAAAGAGGGCCTCTTGCATAAATACGTAAATATCAAACTAGTGGTTAGAATTGGGGCAAATTTTTTTATTGTTTACATCATACGTGTGTTTGCTATAGAAAGCAAAAAATCTCTTGATATACGATTTTTTGATTGGATTCACAGCCAAAATAGTGGCCTACTTTAACGTGTAAGTCTAGGGACAGCGAAATTGGCGTATGAGACCTTTAGACCATTTTAGCAGGTCAGTTTCAATTATGTCCTTTATCATGTGCTAAAATGAATTGCAGGGATGGCATAGTACAAACTTTAAACCATTGGTTTGCCAGGTGGCAACAAATGATTCTCTAACTATATTTTTTCACTTCTCAAAGAAATGTTGGATTTATCCGTTGAATATAACCAGTGATGGAGGTTACTTAATTTAGAGTATTGTAGTGTAATTCATCCCAGAAGTTTTCTGACAATTCTCCACCTTTAAACATAATCTCCAAGCAGAAATACAGTAAGTTGGATGTTGTTTGACAGGCTAAAACAATCAGCTTGGTGATTAGGGGGTAAATGTTGGCAATGCTGCCGATCCTGCTGTATTTAGCAATATGCATTGCCAAGAATGCCTGGCCGTAGATGCTATGCTATGCTAAGATCCCCCATGCAGACCCTTTATTCAGACTGGACAGATTTTTCCACCCCCCTAGACCAGTCCAGACTGGACAGGTTTCGTCCACCAACCCCCAGGGATAAGGCTAGTATCAGGGCCAAGTGTCTGTGGACACCAGCGAAGGTGGGCCCAGCCTTAGCCTCACGATTTTTTCGCAGTACTTTTGTGTTTTGGGATCCACCCTTCTGGTCAGCTTGGTAGAGCCCTTAGGTAAAGGTCAAAGGTCATGTACAGAGTCCTCAAGAATTTCAGTGCCAAAGTGCTCTTGTCACAGTGCATCAGATACAGCTAGTACTCAACATGGATGCGGCTCTACCACTCCACACATTGTCATCCTGTGGTGCCACCATTGTGAAGAAACATACGGGTGCCATGTTGATGAAATTTGTAACCGAAGTCAAGACCAATGGGTATGATTCGGCAGAAAACACTCAGGTTTGAACGTATTTTAACATACCTGCTCTGTTAAATCTATGGTGATACATGTAATGTTGATAGAATTGTGCTCACATTTTTGTGCAGTGACTTTCAGTTAGTCTCCGCCAGACTTCTTTTGCAGGCTGAATAAATCGTAGAAATCGGCCTAAAAAGGCCGCAGAGAAGGTAGTCGGCCAGAGAACTTGCTGCTCCATTTGCCCGCCCGAGGGGTTTGTACGGCCAGCCAAACTCCCCCCAGGCTAGACTCCCCCGTAGCGGTAATTTACCAGCGGGCGAAGGGCTCTTGTGGCCGGAAAACGAGTTCTGGATTCCAGGGTAGGAAAATGGTAGAATCACAAGCATAGGCTTACATGTAGTTAGGGTTTTATATACATGTAACCTCCTTGGGAAGATTCACTAAGAGTACGTCTCAAGGAAGTTTGAGACCACCTTAAACCACCAAGTGTCTTAAAAACTACCTGATTATCTAACGTAAATGTTTGCACCTCTAAGTTCTCATGCCATGGCTTCCTGCCTCAGCGTGCAGTCATGGGTCATACACAGGGCAAATACTGACCTCAAGTTGACCTCCTGTGGAATACTCCACTTTTACATGGGGGAGACTTTTATCCCCAATCCAACAGCCAGAAGAAAACTTGATCTTTTCCGTCTTGGAATTAAACCTTCCATGATGTTGATGTTGATAAGCATTAATAGAATCTGATATGATCTGGAAATGTTGTGTATAGGGAGTTTTTTTTGTCCTTAAGGCAAAGTGGAACATTCCTTTTCGCACACCAGTACATGATTTCAGGTCAGCTGCACACAGTAGTTCAGTCCTGGGTCAGTTTGTCAGTGGGGCAAGGGGCATAATTTACTGTATTGGAAGGATAGCTGCAGGCGTGCAGAAAGGATGGCAGACAGTGATCTCTCAGAGAGGGTGCAGAAAATCTTGGCCAGGCTGCAGGCAAACCTGCTGCTGTCTGATGTTGGCTGGAAAGTCAAGTCCTGTCCTTTTCACCCCAAGGACAGCCCAGAGGTTGGTTTGATGGTTTGATCTCATGTTACTCTGGCCATAGTTTCTCCCTCCATGCTAAACACAGCAGGGAGTGTGGAGTCATCCAAATGCCCAAGCAGATTTGCACACTGTGCTGGTGTTGTGTATAGTTGACCATCAGAATAATGGCATCTCACACATAACGTACACACTGTGTAACTACATGAATACTTGATTTGAGGATTATGGCACTGTCTATCAAGATACTGTCCTGAATTGCTTTGCACAAAAAATACCTCCAGAAGAGTACAGTTAGTGTAGTTAACTTCACTTCACCTGCAGCAGCCTGATTTCCTTTTCTCCTGATAAATTTTCGCAACAAATACAGGTAGATGTTTGTTTTATATCGCATTTACAGGTAAACTGCATCAAGGTGTCCTGTAATACACCTGATCCAATTTTGTACTTTTGTAAGTTCAGTACAAGCTCTGCACAATAATATATAAGGACCAGACTGATAGCCTGGTTACCAACCCTGATTTACTGCTGAGTCTCTTTTGTCTTCTCTGCACACTAATAATCTCACCCATTAACTACATGTAGTATTTATTTACATATAACATATGTTTGAAACATGATAGTGAAAAAGTGAGAGTCAGTAAAAACCTTGCTTCAAAAAAAGTCTTGCACAGGCTTGCTGTTGTGCACCTCAGCATGCTGAGGGGCAAAATGACAAGCCCAAACATGCACCTGTGCAAGCACGTCTATACCCCCGATTCGGGGAATCAATAGACGTAAAACTCGGATAAGAAGAAGAAGAAGAAGAAGTTTACAAACACTTATTTCCCAAGTTGTCTCTTTGGGCATTGTAGCTGTTAGTGAGAAATGATAGACTTTGACCTTTGCTATTACATGTACTTTCACTGCGTCCAGTCAGAACAGGATGTTTTCTTCTTAACTGTGCAATTCGCCTACGGCACAGCAATGTTCTAGCCTGGGTTCCATCCTGGTTAGTTTACATCCGCTCCCACAGTCGCTACCACCAAGTAGCGACTGTGGGAGCGGACGTAAACTAACCAGGATGGAACCCAGGCTAGCAATGTTCTCAGCCCTGTAGATTCTTGAGTTTTTTCAGGGCTGCTTTCTTTGATCCTCAGGAAAAATCTACTCAAACTAGAGAAGTAACATTTGCAAAGCAAAATACATAATGTTTGGACATGGATAATAATGGACATGGCCATGGTCTGCCCTGTTAATTTTTATTCAAACAAATTCACACACATGTACTACGAGTATATGGTGACAAGAGCAGAGCAGACCATGAAATTGCAACATTATGTAACCCAACACCAGTCACCATGGTGACAGACGTCAACAAATCATGTCATTGGCCAGGTCAGAGGTTAGTGTTTGGAACAGAAGAGGAAGAAACTGAGTAAAAACAATATGTTTTCCTTCAGTAAACATAACCATGCTCATTACAATAAAATGTACTACAAATCACTTAATGTTCATGGTAGCAAGACTTTGCGGCCATAGAAAAATGGACATGTTCACGGAACTACACGTTTGCGGTGGATGCAGGTGCAGCAAATAGGAAGTCGGCAAATTATTTGTTCACGATAATGATAAGTTCATGGAACATATGGAACGAACGAATGAACGTGTTGTGAATATAAAAGCACAGCGAAAATATTAACAGTTAACTTGTGTTAACACTATACCAGTATACAATTGCAGGAAAGACAGTATCGCATGAAAATGTCAAATGATGTTCAAATTTACTAACTATGTCTCATATCTTTCAGGGTGTTGTGGACTTTGGAGTCAGTGAGAACAAGCTGATGTTTGATGTTGTCGAGAAAAAGGTAACGTTACGCAGTAGTCAGTCCAGCGTGCAAAATACCTGGTTGCCCGGTTGCCCTGGGCAACCTATTTTTGAACCTAGGTAGCCCAGTGTGCTACCTAAATTCTAAGAATGCCCCCCCCCCCG